TCGCCGCTTCTACTCATTGATAAGTAACCAGTGCATAATTTCTTTCTCACTCAAGTTCTTCATATTCCACGTGGCGCGAGGTCCCTTCGTGGAGGAGTTCTACCAGTGTGTCACCCATGGCTTCTACACGGCAGACTGGCAGGAGCAGATGTATGCCACCTTCACCCTGGTCTTCACCTTTCTACTGCCGCTGTGCATACTGTTTGGAACGTACATGTCGACCTTCCGCACAATATCAAGTAAGTTTCGGACAGGTCGCATATGTATCCTACTGATTTCCTCACTCTGGTGCGCCCCAACCAGGCAGCGAGAAGATGTTCCAGGGCTCCAAGCTGGCTAACTACTCCACGAACAAGCTTCCCACCCAGACGAATCGGCAGCGGCTAATACACAAGGCGAAAATGAAATCGCTGCGCATCTCCGTGGTGATCATCATAGCGTTCCTCATCTGCTGGACGCCCTACTACGTGATGATGATTATGTTCATGTTCCTGAATCCCGACAAAAGGGTGAGTACAACGTAGGCGTCGCTTCCCTTTCAAAGAATCGCCATTTCAATTGGGTCCAAGGGCACTTCAGAAATTTCCGGCTGCTGACTGACTGACAGGCCGAAAAAACGATTTTTAGTATCGGCTGATTTCGATGGCACATCAATCAGAAGTCGATTTGTCAGTTTGCTTCACTTCAACCCGAGCCGCGCCATCAGCATCCACAGGCCCCGAAGGCTTCCAGCCTTTTCTTGTCTTGTCTAATATTACGGCTTGTGGCGGTTGTAAAGCACGAAGGTCCCAGCCCCGAGCCCGACACGCCCAAGTCGCAGATGTTAGATCCGTTTCAGGGAATCTTTCCATTCTTTCACCACCTGCTCGAAGGGGCGGGCCGGAGCACATAAAAATGATTTCTAATGCTCAATTTTTAATTAATCGTGCGGCCCCCGGACCCGGACCGGCGTGTCATTAATTTTCCTTAACGGCTACGAAGGACAACTTTGATGACTGCCTGTGATTGCCCGTAAAGCGTGTACCAGAGGTACAGGATTATGGCTACCTTTCCACAGTCTCGGGCTGCCACCGCCTGTGTGCCCTATAAAACTTAAACCATTTAATATCAAAGAGGGGACTGACTAATCCTTTTATTGAGCATTCGCATGCACTCGACTGTGACCACTCCGAGCACTTGTACCTGTGATAAGCGCCGTTAGATTTCACCAATGTCCATATACTCGTATAAAGGGCACACTCGGAGGTAGCTAAGACGGTCCGGTCCAACAGCCCAAGTGCCCCCACAAGCCGGCATTGTTTAGGGCCACAGGGAAGAGACCACAATCGTCCGCCTGCCTACCAGACCCATTCAGACATACACAATCCCGACAAAAGGACTGCAAAGAAAATTAATTTGAATTTTCCCATTTGTTTGCAGCTGGGCGACGATCTGCAGGACGCCATCTTCTTTTTCGGAATGTCCAACAGCCTCGTCAACCCTCTCATCTACGGGGCCTTTCATCTGTGTCCGGGCAAAGGTAGCAAGTCCAGTGGAGGCGGAAATAACAACGCCTACAGTTTGAACAGGTGAGTAGTGAGTCCGTGCCCCACCCCGACATGGGCACTCCTTTGACACGGAACTCCGTTAACTCCGTTGCTCTTTCTCTCTCTCTCTCTCTCTATCTGCACAGAGGCGACTCTCAGCGCACCCCATCCATGCTGACAGCCGTGACGCAGGTGGACGGCACCGGAGGAAGCTCCCGACAGATGCGTGCCTTCCGGCAGCAGAGCTACTACCGCAGCTCGAGCAACGGCTGTGCGGGACCACCCTTCAAGGAGCAAGTGGGTCTACTGCACGTGGGTCCAGGGTCCTCCAGTGCCGGTCCCGGCTCTGTGTCCGGCAGCAACAGTGCAACGCCGCAGCTGATGCGCAAGGGCTCGTCGGTGCGCAGTCCACATCCGCACCTGGCGATCCTGGCCCGGCACCCCAGTTGCCTGCGCGAACAGGAACAGCAGCGCCTCCTGCTGCAGACAACCCCATCCACCGTCGTTCTCAACTACGACGCCCAGCGCGGGGGTGTAGGCGTGGGCGTGGCCAGTGGAGCGCACCTCACCGCGCTGCTGGACAACAACGAGCGGGTGTCGAGCGTGTGAGACGAGCTGGCGATGGCGGCGGCGGCGGCGGTGGAAAATGTGGCGACGAATGGGTCGGAGGACGCGTGTTCCTGCTGCCATTGCCTGAGCAGGGAGCTGGTGCGGCGGCAGCAAGGTTTCCAAGAGATTCCAGTGCAGTGATGATGTCAGAAGATTAGAGGATCAGAGAATCACATAGAGTAAGAGTAAGAGTAAGAGTAAGAGTGAGAGCGAGAGGTGCACCTGGAACAGGATGAGCCATGTGCTAACCATGAGAGCTGAGGCGTCGATGATCAGATCACCGAGCCGAGGAACGTGTGGGTAGTTAATACCAATTGAGAGTTAAGTCTTCAAACACAATGGGTGTGCTTAGAGTAGAGTGTTTATTTCTAGCATGTACGGTCTCCTCGCCCACACCGGGGCAATCCCTGGCAGATGTGGGTGGGGAGGTACTACTCATCGATAAGCAGCGGGAGCCGTCTCGCCTTGTGGCGGCAGCGATGCAGCTCCAACGATAAGTATTTTAATTAGCCATTAGTCCGTTTCAGGGAGCAGACACATTAAACTTTCTGAAATCAGTCAGTCTGCTTCTATGTCAGTGCAACGTTGAAAAGTTTGTTAGCGGACGGAATCCTGTCAGATTCGTCCCTCAGTTGTCCTTTTCTGAAAATCAATTGTCTAACGCAGCCAAAAACCAAACAGGGTAATAATTACTTAATACATTTAACTATAAATATATCAATGTGCATTTTTTGGGAGACATGTTTCGCTCTCGAATAGTTCCCCCAATAGCATCTGCAATAGCATAGCAATAGCAGCCCCCAATATAGTAGCCCCCAATATAGCAGCCCCCAACCGAATCGTTGAACAAACATTCATATTTATCCAACGAATTTCCAGAGTTTTGGAATGCCCTCATTACTTACTCAGAGCCTATTACTGTTTTCCTTTTACGAGTAGCATTGTTTTAAAATGTATTTACTTGAAGACAATAATGTTTTGATTTTTGAATGTCATACGAAAGCCAAATCTCTGCTCAATTTGTTCGAAAAGTTATCCCAGGGAGTTTGTATTGTATGTATATTGGATTGGATTGGATTGGAGGAGTACGGTGCACGAGTACCGTACCCTTTGTAAGCTGATTGCCCCGAAAAATGTGCACGGATCCGGAGGACAACTCTACAGGATTACGTGTATGCCCATCTATTCAGCATCCTGCTCGCATATTCATGTGCACCGTACGTTGTGTGTACTTATGTATAAATAATCTGTGTCAAATTTGTATAGTTTATTTTTAATAAAAACCGAATGATCCTTCCGAGACTTTACGAGCCAACTTTTAACGCCCACGCAGATACAGGGGCGGAGGCAGAGGCAGAGGCACAGGCAGAGCTCAACACGTTGATGAACTAGCGCTGGCGGGGGGGCCTATAAATCCACCGGGCTCACGTTCATAGGTCTCCACCCTCCACGCCTAGCATATTACAAAATTTTATGTGCGACACAGGCGGACGCGGACGTGGACGCACAGACATGGGCCGCTCATCATGATAGGCAACAGCATAACATAGGCGGGGACATTTTAAAAACGTTGGAATCCACTGCTCCGATGCTGTATCTATCTCGCAGTCCGTGTTCAAATGCTGAACAATGGGGGGGCGTGGGCCTGCTCCCCAATCTGCGGCACGAAGTTTTTGCTCTGCCGCTGCGCTACGACGGAAACCGGAACCGAATTACCACAAATAATGAAAGTCCTGCGTCCAAAAGAATCCGTGCGGGAGCGGGGCGATGGCCGAAAATGTTTTTCTCGTCCTGGCCCAAGCAAGTCCCAAGCTAGGCCCAAGCAAACCCCATGCCCCGTTCCCAAGTCAATTATGCGCAGTCAGACGGCGACTTCTCTGCCTCGTACAACTTTTGATTGCACGATTTTTCACCCAGTATGTATTGCCTGGGTCCAGCAGTCTTTAATGTAAATGCCGTAAGCATCGAGTGCACAGAAATGTTTTACGAACGAGTATTTCATTTTTAGTACGCATTCTTTCAAACAAAGCAATTCTGGGAACGGATGGATAGCGGAAAGGGACCGCACTTAACGGCCCGTATTAGGTACGAGTATTGGTGGAGAGGAGGGGAGTGGAGCGGGGGTCCCCAGGAATTAAAAACATTCCGCTGCTCCTCTCCATTTTATTGGCGTAGCCAAAAACTGCTGTTTTTGCTGTCCTACTGGGTCCTACTCGACGAAGCATCACAGTGACAATGCCAATGCCTATTCCAATGCCTGAGGACGGACAGTCATGGCTGTGACAGCCGCCATTTGGTAGCAGTTTGAAAGCAATACAAAAGGAACAATCGTAAAATGCGAAATATACGTACATACATTAATCGAGACATTTGAGTCTTTTTGTCGGTAGATACCATTCTACTGTGTTCATACATGACCTACTGGGAGTAGACGGGACATCGTCACAGCAATTATACAATTTTATGGAGCCATTCCTTTGGCCATTATCAACATGACGCAAACTGAGCGGAGGAGCTGCGACCCACGGTCGCCATTCGGGCATGGAACGCCATTGCCTTTGCGGCATATCAACATAAAATCGAAAGACTTCCGTGGTCTACCCGTAACCTCAGGCTTGACTCATCAGAAATTGATGAGCCGTAAATAACTCACATAAATGGATTCATTGTGCTGCCCACGAGCACTATCGTTAACATAAATATGTATATGTATATGTATGCATGTACATTTAGTGGTACTTTAAGCACTCCTCTGCGCCCTAGGTTTCGTTGAGTGTTTTTCTGTTGCGTTGAATGCAGCTTCTCCTGCTCAATAAATTATTTTGGAAAATACAATTTATAATGCGTATAGGTAAATGCATTGTCTTACGTGTTGAGTGGTTCTATTATTTTGTATTAAATTTCTTCATTTGCTATGACAAATGTTTCACTTAGGTATAGGGCGGGAGCACAAGAATATATGTAATAAAAACCTTGAAGTACACAAACAAAAAAAAAAAAAAACGCCCAGAGGAGCTGGACTGAGGTGAGCGTGCCGCAAAGGGGTGTTTCTACCGCGTGCTCACCACGGCCTCTTTGCGCGCGGCGTCTTGCAGCAGCTGGGTGTCTACCTCCTCGCCGGGCAGCTGGACGTAGCGGACGACAGAGCCGCGGATGAAGCAGTTCTTTACGCTGAGCATGTGCGGATATTTGTCTGGATCCGTCACACTGATGTCCGTTAGCTTTATATTCAGATACTGGTCCACGGAGTGCAGAGTGCCGCATATACTGTGGATGGATTGTTGATTGGAGGAAGAAGAAGATGCATGATTTCGGCGGCCGGTTCCACGCGACAAATGCACAGAAACCACACTCACCTGAGGTCATTTTTCAGCTCGACGACGACTTCCTTGCCCACCAGAGATTTGAAGAACGAGTAGAAGAGCTGATGGCAACGAGGAAAAGTTCAATTAGCATTGTATATACATTTATTTCAGATTTCTCACCATTGTTTTTGTTATTTCTTGTAAATTGATTGATGGATTTATCGATAATATTCTAATAAATATTCTACACGTTTGCTACATAATGAAAGGAAAAAAAGGGTATGGCCAGAACGGGCAGAGAGGCTGAATGGCACAGAAAATGCAACGCATGCAAGGTAAAATCCACCCCATTTGCTCAATATACCTTGAAGAAAAATAAAACGTAGGTGAGGTTCGTACGAATCTTTTAGTTTGCCTTGGCTGTTTTTGCCTGTTGTTGTCCGATATATACCGATACAAAATCCCCGCTCTATTTAAAAAGCTGCACAACTTGGAAAATAATACTGTTTGTAATTATTCTTGTAGATCTATCTTCTCTACTTACTTTTACCTGAACTGCGCTAAACTTCTTCCAGTTTCATAACATTCGTGAAGTGTCTTTGATATTCCGATTTCGATATTCCAAACATATAGAAACGTACACAACATTCCATAAATGCTAGAATTGACTTATCGATATATATTTTTTGTAGGTGATATTTTTGTGTGATATGCGGAACATATCGGAAGCAGAGATGCATTCTAGCTGTGAACCTTTCTTTAGTAGTCTGGCAGCCTTCCACTGGAGAACCAACATTTGGCGGTCTCATTTAAATTCTAATTTGAAATGTTGTCAGCCGCTTAATATCTGGATATTTATGAAAATCTAGTGGTGTGTTTTAGATTATGCTTACATAAACTCGCGATCGGCCTCGACCGGCCTCTCCACAGATTGGGCAAGGAGCTGACAGAGAAAGAAAAAAGTGCTATTATAGAGGCATGTAAACTTTAACAGCGAGCGGGAACTATCAGAGAAATAACTCCCACGCAGCTCTGCTGTACCCCTCTCACCACCCTCTTTGAGCCACCCTCGCTGCTGGAGTCTTATCCAAGCTGTATTTTTCCCCCTCCCTCACTCAAAGCGGTCAATAAAATCGCACGTAGAGGTGCGCGCGAGTCTAAATGCAAATCAAGTGAAAAGTGCAAGGCGAAATGCGGCAAATACTGTGTGAAAGTGTGAGTGAAAAAGAAAATATGTACCGCAAGAACAATATAATGAGCGGGACAATGCTAAATGGACAAAAAGTGAGTGACAGATCATAAGCAACTGAGCAAGCAGTGCAAGACAGTAAGGAGTACAAAGCGATAAGCAGTGCAAGGCAATAAGCAGTGCAAACTTAAATGGTCGAAAAGTGAGTGAAGTGCGAAAGAAAAAAAATTACACCGCAAGAACAATATAAAGAGCGGGAAGCAGTACAAGGCTTAATGACCAAAAAGTTAGTGAAAGGCTTAAAGTGAGAGCGACAAACAGCTCGGCCATCTACGAGCAGAAACGAGGGCTGGTTACTAAGCGGAGCCTTGCCGTCTTATCACAGCTTACAGCTTCCCCTAAGGTCACTCATTCAAAGCGGTCAATAAAATCAAGAACAAAACAACGCAGCAAAAGGGAACATCAAATAATATTCAACGCTTACCTATTGAAGTATGGGAACAGGTGAGTCTTTCTGTTTTGGATCATTCTTTATACTGTTTTTTTTTTCGATTTCTGTACCCGATTCTCAAAATGAGGATAGGGGTATATTAGATTTGTGGGGAAAATGGATGTGTGTAACGTCCAGAAAGAGTCGTTTCCGACCCCATAAAGTATATATATTCCTGATCTGCATCAATAGCCGAGTCCTGTCCATTGAGCACTGTCTGTCCGAGTCTGTCTGTCCGTCCCTATCAGCGCCTAGTGCTCAAAGACTATAAGACCTAGAGTAACGACATTTTATATCAGGACTTCCCCGCTTACTTCCGCCCCAGCAAAGAGCGAAAATCTGTGGCATCCACAATATTGAAGATACGAAATAACTAAAAACACACAATCATAGAGAGTGACCATATCTATCGGGTATAAATGTAGAGTTGCGGTCTCTGCAGCAACTCACAAAGTTCCCCTTCGTTCTTAGTATGTTATATACATATATACATATTATCTATATTTATATATGCAGTGTTTATAATTTCTACACTTATATTTTCTGGTGTATTCTCCTTTCGTTCCTTAGTTTGGCGGCCTAGTTTGAATTTGAATTTATTATGAAAGTAACACCAGGCACTTTATATCCCAGTAGTATTATATATGTATTATTCATCAGTTTACCTTTTCGATTCTCTGATCTTGGAACGTGTCACAGCGTTTCCTATCATTTAAGCCTCTTTGCTAGTTCAGCATACATATCATTTTAAACACTTTAAACATGTTACCGGATCTGGACGCCTTTTCGAAGCAGGATAAGGAGAAGGACGAACGTCACTCCTACACTAAGGAGAAACCTCTGACCTACAGCAGCAATGTGTTGGTCGGAAATTGGTTCAATCAGCGCTATCAGAAGGACATACGGAACGGGAACACCATACTCCCCGGACTGACGGCGGAGGAAGCTTGCGAACGGCACAAGACATGCAGCCAAGCCACGTATACGCCCTTCACTAGAAAGGAAACACTATACGATCACATCGAAAGCAAGCACCTCATGGAGGGGATCAAAGAATCGCAGAACTCGCGCCAGCCACTGGACCATGACGATCGGTACCTCAATAACTACACCTCCATGAACACTCTGATGTTCAACATGCTGCCCAAGATGCGACTGGACGAGTGCCTACAGATGGAAAAGGCAGGTCTGAGGTACCAGCCCAGCCAGCTCGATGCCACACAATGTTACGGCAACAACAGTTTACTACGCAATAAAATTCGATGCAAGCTGCTCAGCGAACGCCCCAATCGTGGAGCTACCAGCTACATGACGGACTTCAAAATCAAAATTAAGCCCGTCGAGCAGGGGCTGGGAGAGTGGACGACCGCTGATAACGACACCAAGACGAAGGATCGCGGCAAGTTTATTTTCATGAATTGTAACATGCACGACGACTTGATGAGCCTTAAAATTGAGTCCGCAGTCTCAAAGTACGCATAATATATACCATATTTAGAATGTATAATACCATACCTACAAACATACATCCAAATCCTTGGCCAACCGAATTCAGCTTGTCTAGTTTTTCAAGTGGGTGGGGGGTGTATAGTAGGTCGGTGTTCACTTGTTTATCTTTCATCTTAGTTTACTTTTTAATACTCAGTGTTTTTGATAGTTCTGAATTTTTTACTTGTATACATAGTTTTCATCCAGTTGGACTCGCAGATAAATTAAAACAGTAGAATGCATAGCACAGGCCAGAAGTCCTTGCTGCGTAACATGGCCTCATCGCCGTATGGCAAGGAGGTGCTGATAGGCAACTGGGCCGAGCGCCGCTATGAGATCGATGAGAAGAGCAACGCCGCCGTGCCAGGGGTGAGAGCACCGGAGGGCTGCGAGAAGCACCAGACCGTCAGCCAACGGACCTACACGAATGCGCCCTTCACAGGGATAGACACGGTCCAGAATTACTCGGATCAGCGCCAGGAGGCCTTTCAGAACTTAAGGAAAAACTCGACATCAAGCCTGAGTTTAGTGGACCACATCTCCCTGACGCGGAATTTCACCACCACCACCACCCTGACCTACGAGGTGCTTCCCCAGCGGTTCCTCAAGAAAAAGCAGTTGGATAGCGGAAACTGCGGCCCTCCTCAGCGCCAGCCCGAGCTCGACATGCTGCAATCATTCGGCAATCTGACCAGGACCTACAACTATAAAAAGCTCTTCAAGTGCGAGAAGCTACTGGCCCATCTCGCCGGCAAGGCACAGACCACATATAGCTCCTCCTACAACCGGGCGTTAAAAAGCGAGCCCATCATGGAGTTTGGCCCGGATTACGACGGGGTTGTCAAGTTCGATTTGACCTGCTAGGAAGCCGGCTAGCTCTCAGTTCAGATCAGTGTTGACCAGTTGCCCAGATCTTTTCCAAAATTACAGGTGTTTAAATAAAACTACGAAAGCTATATTACAAGATTCAATTTATTTCAAATCATTTTCTTGTATAATAATATAGGTTCGTATTTTAAGTAGTTTCTATATTTTTGATGCCGGAAATTCATTGTGGTTTTATTTTTTTTGGTTGCACATGCCGTGGCATTGGATGCTTTTTGCTTTCGCTTTTTTTTTGTTTTTTAGTTTGCAGAGTTATTTTGCTTGGATTCTTGTTTTTTTGTTTTTGTTTTTGGTTTTGGTTTTTTGAAATTAGTAGGTCGATAGACGTTTACAATACTCGTACTTTTGCTTTTTTCTTGTGTTATAGAATATATACTTTAATTTAATGTTAATTATTACAAAAAGTAAAATTTGACGACATTAAACTAGACGACGACTTTCGCTTAAATATTTTGCTTTTGATGCATTAAGATTTGCTTGCCTTAAAATCGTATTTTCGTTTTCGATTAATTTTGGACTGCCTCAATAGGTTTTTGCCTTTTCTTTTTATTTTTGTTTTGTTTTGTTTTTCTTTTTGGCTGACGATTACGTTAAAAATTATGCTTAAAATCTAAACCAATGGAAGGTGTTGGTGGTGTGTGGGTCAGAAGAGGTGTGTGTGTGTCTGTGTGTGTGTTTGTATGGGGTGTATGTGTTGGGTGGGTGGGTGTGTACTTTTGTGGGTGGGGTCCGAGATTTACCGGGATCGTGTTTTTGGTGGGGCAAGTGGCTGTGGGGTAAGTGTTTGCGGGTTGTGGGGTGCTCGGTGTAGCTCGTGTGTGGTGTGGGCTTGTGGGCTTGTGGTTGGGGGTAGTTTAAGAAAGGTTCTGGTTATATGCTCGTATATATAGTTTTCTTTAGTTTGCTTACAACAATTAAAATTTTGAATTTTTAGTAATTTGTATTCTCTTGATATATCAATTTTGTTGCGTATTTGTATTGTATTTTAGTTTCGCTCCACTCGAGCTTTCGATTTTTCATTACTTTCGAAATTGATCAATGTTTGTTTTTTGGTGTTTGGTGTTTGGTTTTCGTTTTTGTTTTTTTTGCTTTTTGCGTTTTGCTTTTTGGTTTTTGCTTTCGATTTCCCAATTCGCGTTCTCTTACATTTATTACCTAAAGTATTTAGTTTTAGTATTACTTAATTTGTATGTAAAAAATGATGCTTATACATTTGGCTTAAATTTAAATTCAAATTTTCATTCTGTTTTTGTTGCTCCGAAAAATGTAATTTAATGTGAATTTGAATTTTTGAACTGCCTTTAAGTAGTTGCCTCGAGTGTTCACTGTGTGGTCTGTGCAATCGATAATCGATTGATTTTTGAAAGGCCGAGAGTCGTTTCTTTGTATTGCCGAGAATATATACTTTGGAATGGGCCGAGAAGTGTTTTTGTTTGGTTTTTGTAACTCTATCCTCAAGATATTTTGCCACTTATTACGATTTACTTTTTCTGTATTGTTTTCTTTTATGTTTTCTTTTCTTCGATTGCCTCTGGACAAGTCATCATTTTTTATTTTAGATTTTGATCTCTAAAGTGTTTCTTTTTTCGTTCAGATGCCAAAGGTTCCTTGACGATCATCCTCTGCAAGGATTCAAACATATGTTATGCACTCGTTAAATGTTCGCTTAAACGTTCTCCCTCTAGTTTTGATTGGAAATACCCTTTCCGAATAATTTTCTTTCATTCATTTCGCTTGTTATATCCAAATACTTTATCTTTTATTATGAACCTCATATTTGATTCAGCCAAACTAAGATGCTTTCAATAAATATGGTTTTTTTTTTGTTTGTTTGATTAGCCACAAATATTTTTTAAACTTGAGTCCCGAAACTTGCATGCCAGTGTGTTCCTGATGTTTGATATATATTTTTTATATTTTTTGTTGTTTTTTGCTTTTGAAATTGTTGTTGCCTTTTCTGGTTGTTGTTGTTGTTGTTGTTGTTGTTCTTGTTGATGTGTGCAAAACAAAACAAAAAAAAAGGATTGGAAAACTTGACAATTAACGAAAGATTGGTTTAGATTGTGAAATGATTGGAGAAATTCGAACGAAATGCGAACAAAAATTCGAATAAACATCGTATGCTGTTGCTGTTGTTGTGTAGCCAGTTTTATTGTTTAATTCACGTGCAATCTGCTGTTGTAATTGTATTTGTAATTGTAGTTGTTGTACCAATTGATTAGATTTTTTTTACCAGGAAAGTGAGATTTATGTAGTTCTGTTTGTCGTTTGTTTCTGATCCTCCTCTGTTTTTTTATGTCTCTTGTAATATAAAAAAAAAGGTTTTCTATATATTTTTTTTCATTATTTTTTGGTTTTTTGGTTTGGTTTTTTCACTGATTCTGTTTTGGTTTTGGTTTTTGGTATTTCTTCATCTATATAGTATGTATAATTCTCTTTTTACACTCAATTACATAAATGGGAAATCATACAATTGAAATATAAAAATGTTTAACAATCTTTTAGCTATTGTTAGTGCTGCATCTTTAAAAAATATATGTATATAGTTGCTGCTCTGCTCTGCTCTACACTGCTTCCTCCTGCTCTCTGTTTGTTGTATGTATACTTAAAATTGCCTTTGTATTAGTCGGGTAATCCCCGTTTTGATTCGCATTCGACCTGCACTGCACTGCATCCTGCAGGATCCCCTAATCATCATTGTCTTCTATTGCTTGTTCATTCAATTGTTTTTCTGCTTCGGTTTCGGTTTCTGTTTCTGTTTCTGCTTCTGTTGCGGTTGGTTTTGCTGTATAAAAGTCGCTCAATAAGAAAAATGTATTTTTATTGTACTATGGTTGCTGTTGCTGCCCGCGGTATCCGTGGCATTTGTTGTAAGTATCTGTTGTAAATGAAGAGATTCGTTCGGTTTATTGTTGCTCATTCGCATCAGGCTATTGGTTAATTAATGGCTTATGGCTGACCCAGGCCAGGTACGTGTTCCGTCTCCTGATCCTGGCAGTTTAGTATCACTATTGCTTTGTCTTGTTTGATTCTATTTGATTTGATTCTGTTTCTGTTTTGGTTTGGTTTTGGTTTGATTTGTGGTTTGATTTGTGGTTTGGTTTTGATTAACTTTCTGCTCAACAAACAAATGTGTGTGTAAGTCTTCGATTCGATTCTCATTCTCACTTTCTGATAAAAAGGTTCAAATTTAAGGTTGTGTGTGTGTGTGTGTCGTGGTGGTTGTGTGTTTGTTGTTGTTGTTGTTGTTGTGGGGATGGTGATGGATGGTGGGGCTGGAATATGGATCATATTCTCACTCGTCTGTGGATATGTCGCGTTCAACTGAAAGTAAGAACTCCTGGGACTCGCTCGGCTCCTGTTACTCTAATCGCACTTGAACACTGCTCTTGAACTCCTCTGCTGATTGCTGATTCTTTGCGTTCCTAAGTACGTACCTCCTGTTGCATTAGCTATTCATTAGCAAAATGAGGAAAATAATTGATTTACTTATGTCGGTACTATTGCAGTTGCAGTTTGCAGTTTGTGATTTTGGTTTTGGTTTTGCTTTTGGTTTTGGTTTATGTACAGTTTCAGTTTCAGTTTCAGTTTTAGTTGAGTATATAATTAATAATAAGTGCATATCAGGGTCAGGGTCGGCGGCGACGCTGATTGTTGCATAAATAAAATTTGTTTCTATTGCCTCTGCTCAGTATTATTTCTATGGTAGTTATTATATGGTAGTCCCTGTCAATTGTTCATAATAATTACAAACGTATACATATTCCCATCAAATAAATGTCAACATAACAACAAATTGTGTTCGGTTCGTTCTCTCATCTGATCTGATCGTATCTGATCTAATCAGAACTTATTTACGTAATTTATCGTATCGTATCGTATCTGTATCTGACGATTGATTTCATTTCTTCGGTTCTTCTCCAATCTGCTTTACACTTAGGCGAGCGCAAGTTTTAAAAATATTTGTTTGCATTTCCATACTTCACTTAACACTTAATCGAATATACTAGTACTAGTACTCGTACTCGTACGCGTACCTTTTTTATGTCGTTTTGAAAAAAAAAATGTTACTATATTTTCTCAGTTTTGGTTTATTTTTTTCGGCTTTTGCGTCGATCCTTTTCGGAAATCGACTTTTACTATTTTTTTTTCTGTTTAGTTTAGCTGATTTTTCCATTCGTTTGCGAACCGCTCGCTGGATTGAATTCTTCGAAGTACTGTAACTATTGTTGATTGTAAAAATTCTGTAAAATATTTTCGGTACTATTTCATGTTTGTTTGTGGTTCGTGGTTTGTGGCTTGTTACTGTTGCAAAAACAACAGTTCGTACATATATAATAATACATATAAATAAATCGTTTGATTTCTGTCTGTTATAAATTACTTGTTCTATGGGCACATTGTGTGTACTGCAAAAAGTCTATTCCTTTGGTCCAGCCAGTGTCTGGGTTCCGGTTCCGGTTCCGACTCCGGCTCGAAAGCCGGGCCTGAGTCTGGCCTTGTCTGGGAACGATAAATCAATGATATTTGTTGGCCAGCCATGGCTTCCATTAATGTTTTAAATCTGTGCCATTTATATTGATATTATTGAAGAACCATTTGAGGAGAAACCAAATGAATTAGTGGTTAACCTCAATAATGTCGGGAGCCTAGAGCCTGGACCCTGGCTTGGACCAAGATGTTCGACGTTTTTGCAATATTTTGTATAGAGATATTTCACTGATATTTCATCAACTTGATCATCTGATTATAAACTAACGAGGCTATTGTTGTTTCGGATTCCCTCCATCTTTTGAAGAGGGGAACAGAGATTATTCTATCTTCGGGCTATTTTACAACTGATATTCAGTAATTCAGTATTCAGTAATATGGATAGTCTGCGGGTCTGTGTATGTAATTCTTCCTATTCCCTCGGCTGGCTGCTCGCACAAACTGTTTAAGGTTACTTCAAATATAAGTAGATATATCGTATATATAGAGAGTATGCATTAAATACGTTAAAAAATATAATACACCATACATATAATATAAGAGTTTAGGGTTTTCCATATGCACTATATGCTATATTTCTTTGCTTTGCTTTTGGTTTACATTTGGGTTTTGCTTTTGCTTTATTTAGAGTGTATTTTGGAGCGATTCAAATATTCCATTCAAATATATTTGTTTCCCTCCCTTGGGGTTCGTTCTATAACTCCATTTTCTTTGTGATATTTGAGAATTTAACTAAAAATCGTTTGGAGACTTGAGTTAAATGCATCTGTCTGCGTCTCCGTCTCTGTTTTCCAATTTGAAATCAAATCAAACAGCTGTTCAATGGGCATTCATCGCTTCGTAATATTATCGCATCGCATCGTATTATTATAATTCAGTATTATCATTGTCATTATCATTATCATTATCGTTATCATTAGTATTATGCTTACCGTTTCTATTTGAAAGTGTATGTATTTCCTATCGTTTCGTTCCCTTACTGTTTGCTGATTCATTTGAATTGTTGCTTGTTTGTTTGTTGTGTTGTTTTTTGTTTGATGGTTGCTTTGACGCTTGGTGGTTGACTTAAAAACTATTATCACTATTGCAGAAAGCGGCTGTACTCAATTATAATGCATTCCCCCCCAGGCAGGATCCGGTGTGGCATGGAGGTATGCACCATGCCACACCTTTCCCCTTTGGAGTGTGATTCATTGTTGTTTGTATGTTTGTTCGGCATTTACTATGAATTTTTGGTTTGTCTCTGGATCTGAATATGAGTCTGAGTCTGAGTCTGAAGTGTAAGCCGGAATGGTAATAATTTGATAGCATTTCTCTCAAATATTATACTGAAACATGTGTTCATTTTCTTAATCTCTTTATCATGACATTCGTTCATTATCTTTTGCTTGTGGTATTATAATTTTTCACTATATTAATTTTTAAGAAGAAAGGATTTTTCTTTTTGTGGTTTTGTTTGTTCTTTTGAGTTTTTGCTTTCTGGTTTGTCGAGTTGTGTGTCGTCGAAAAGCAGCTTTCGAGCTCCGAATTTCTCTCGCGTTTTCCTCTCTGATTTTGTCTCCTTCTTGATTTTGATCAAAGTTCAAAGTTTGTCATAGTTCATAGTTCATATTCATGCCTTTGCTTGCTTGCTTCTTGTGTCGTGTTGTGTGGTGTGGTGTGTGTGTGGTTTTGTCTTTGGGCTGTTCGCTTTATAGTACACGTTGTTGCTTATGTTTAATTATTATGGCTTTTTGAGACTGCAATTAAAATTTCTGCTATAAAAATTACTTGTATTTGTACTCTTGGTTATTTAAATTGGGCTATTGTTTGGTTGTTAGGTATGCTTGTAACTTTGTTTCTGTCTCTCTCTCTCACTTGTCTCTCTTGTCGCGCCGAGCAGGGGTATCTGCTGGCCCCTGCTGCCACTCGTTTTCTATATGTATGTATCTATGTATTTATGTATTTATGTGTCTCTCCTTCAACTATCTGTCGAGGCTCTTCTATGGTATGTTTCTGCTCTGCTCTGTTCTGTGCTGTTCTATTATGTTATATTAGGTTATTCGTCAGGTGGTAGCCCCTTTGTCTGTCTAGGCTTTGAGTCATCGATCGGGAAACGTGTCTCTCCGATTCGTGATCAGTATATCAGTACAGTAAACACTCGTGGGTATGTATACTGGTATTTTGTCGTTTGTCATGGCCGGTGTGCTCTTGGGTCTGTATTCCTCCCTTCTCCCTGGGTTCCACTGAAGCATCTGGCTTACACATTTTTGGAGCTTTCTTCGTACTCTTCTCTCTTCGCTTTGAATTTTGTTTGCAACTACGAAAACGATCCGATCCTTCAATAAAACGTGAAAACAGAAGATAGGTACATATATAAAAATAAAAACAACTGAAACCCAAATCATACGAAAATGGTAAATAAGGTGGAAAGTATTTTCGATTTGCAGGCAGTTCCAGGACACTGGACTCCCTTGGAGGCCTGCAAATCTTTTGTGGAGCGTTTCAAAATTTTGTTGTTAGTCTTTATGCTAGAATTTATAGCGCCTAAGGTATGTTTTTGTTTTGTTTTTTTTTTTTGTTTTTTTGATTAAGTGTATGCTTTAAATTTTGTTTTATGCCTAAAAATGTACAAAAGTTTTATGTTTTAGTTTTGGTTTTGTTTTCGTTTTCGTTTCGTTTCATTTTGTTTTTACTTTGCATTTATCACAGCGACATTCAGTCTAAATTTTGCTTTTATTGGAATTATAGCATAATTTGCCATAATTTACTTTGATATAAACATTCCCATCAATTTTTCCATTCCATTTAGTTTCTTTAACTAAAACTAAACATAATTTTGATTTAAAGCCAAAAGGTTTTTGTGTATGTGTGTGTGTGTTCGTTCGTTTTTCGATTTTCCATTTTCGATTTTTCGATTTTCCGATTTTCGTTTAAAGCCGAAAGAATTGTTAAAATTTTGTCTAAAAAGGCCTAAAAGTATGCTAGAGTAGAGCATTAGCTTAGTGTTAAATTTGTTTTGTTTTAGTTGTCATAAGTATTCCTTATAGCAAATCATGCTGATCGCTCCGATCCGATCCGATCAGGCGGATCCAAGTCCCTTTGGTCTAATCGTAATTCCAATAAAAGCCGCCATATCTCGGTTACCGTATAAATTTTTGGATGTTGTTTTTTGCCTTTGTGCCAAAACATGCAAATTGTTCGTGGATAGTGTTTTCCATTTTTTGTCAATTTCAATTTCAATTTTGATTTAGATTTCGAGTTTTCAATGTGCCTAAAGAGTGTTCTAAAATTTGGACTAACTTTACCGTAACCGTAGGTGTTAATAAAACTCTTACAATGCCAAAAAAATTTTGCTCAAACTATTTATAAAACTTTTGTGCGTAATTTTTTCACTTTGTATTTTCGAAACGTTCTATGTACAATTTTCAATGGTCAACCCGTTCACTGGTTGGTTGCCGAAACATTTGCCATAACTGAGCCCCACTCGTATCACAAAAACCAGACGCCTGTCCAAGCCGAAAAATGTTGTGTTCAATGCCAAAAATGTCGTTCGTTTGCCCCGATAGTTGGGGAAATTATATAAATCGTTTGGGGATGGGGTAGGGTCTAAAAACTGGGCTGGGATGAAACGATGAATAAACAGAATAAACAGAAGAGGAAAACGGAAAAATCGGAAATAAAATAATTGTGTTTTTGTTTTATTTGAAATCATTAAATAATATATGCAAACATAATTGATAATCTGAATGCCTAAAAAACAGCGAAAACAAATCGTATTCCGAGCACTTTCTCCGATTTACTTCCATCGAAACTTAATTGGCTAGACACTAAATGTATTAAATAATGAGTAGATAGTACTTGCAAAGGTGAAACGACTAAACTAGAGTTAATTTCTGCTCTCTCTCTCTCTCTCTCTCTCTCTGTCTCTCTCCCGCTCTTACTCTCGCTCTTCCATCTGCGATCCCATCTGCGATCCCATCAATACGTATTACGTAGGAAGCATACGCTATAAGATTAATAACAATCATAAATGCTTTGACGGTACATTGGAAAATTTGATATGAAACTAAATTTGTCATCTATATCCACACAGTGGTTTGGGTTTTGGACTTGGATTTGGATTCCGATTCGGATTCGGATTCGAGGCAAGGGGAAAGGGAAAAGTATTGGGTGGTGGGGTGATTCAGATAACTTTTTGACTATTGTTCGATTGTATGGCACCTGAAGAGTCACATTTGAATTGCGTTCGCTATATAGTAGATCGATTCTATTCCCGCCCGTTCGCCTTCTCACTCTCTCTCTCTCTTCCTCTCTCTCTCTCTATCTTGTGTCTGCCTATGGGTTGGTTGTGCGTGCACTTGTGTGGACATATTTGGGTTAAACGTATGCCTAATTACTCGTACTAAATAAAAACTCAACATAAATTACACACAATTAGTTGGGGAAGACAACAAATGAAGCCTAGTTCAATGTACTAAGGTTTCTACAACTTATTCTGCTCGTTGTATAATTATAGATTGCGTTTTAGTGTTATTTTATACATATACAAAAATCACATATCAATTGAAAAAAAAAAAAAAAAAAATTAGAAGGCTCTAATAAGGGTTATCCATATTCATTCAACAAAAATTCGAATACTTCAACATATCTGGAGAACGAAATCAAAACTTAGCTGCTGTGTCATCGAAAAACAAATTGCTCAGCGCCAGCCAGCGTCTGTGGCGCCTCTCTTTCTCTCCCCTATAGCTGCCCTATCTATCGCTCCTATCGCTCGTATCACTCCATACTCCATACTCCATATCTGTCTATCCGTTCATTCCCCCATCTCTCTCTTGCTCTCGCTCTCTCTATATCTGAGTTATCCTAAGTGTACGCCTAAAATCGTATAACTCTTGTCGATTGTTTCAGTAATCATCGTCCCTATCATCATCCTCAGCTTCATGTCTGACGAACTTGTGTTTGTGTGTGTGTCTGTGTGTATAAATATTTGATGTATTGGTAGTCTTAAGAGGTGTTAGGGTCCTTAAACGAAATTATCAAAAAGGAATCGTATAACGTTGTGTTTTGGTTCTCATTCTCGCTCTTCTCTTTGTAGCGCTGTAGCTCTCAATCGTTAACCATTTGCATTTGATGTTAATGGTCGTAATCAAAGGAGTTTAGAGTCCTTTTCGAAAAGACTAGTACTCGTCCTGTTTTCCTGTTTTTCCTGGTTCAGCTCCTCTTCTCCCGATCATCTTTTCTTACTCTTCGTCCGCTCTACTCGGCTCTGCTCTGTCCCGTTCCCGATTTTCTGTTACCAAAACTGTGTTTTGTGGTTTTAAGATTAAAGATTAGTTTTAAAAACTAAGAGAATTTGTATGCGTCTATAACTAGAGAACTTATCGAACCTATCGAACCTATCGAATATTGTGAATAGTGTGTTCCTCAATTTTGATTTCCTCTCCTCTCTCCTGCTACTTCTACTGCTTCTGCTCCTGCTCCTCTTTTCTCTCTCTCTCTCGCGCTTCCTACTGATGACATCATAGAGATCCGAATATCGAGTGTATGTGGGGATGGATGGGTATCGCATGTGTTAGAGTGGGCGGCGGTGGGGGCGCAACCCCGTTGGGCACTCCCGGGTGTCCCGGATGCCCCGGATGGGGCGGGTGGGACGTCGGCGGTGGCGGCAATGTGATCGAAAGCGTCACCGTCTGCGGTGCCGCCACCGATGAGGCGTGCGTGGAGGTGGGCGAGGCCGCTGCTGCTGCTGCCGCCGCCGCAGCTGCTGCTGTGATATGATGTGCGGACGATGTGGGCGGCGGTGGGGGTGGCGGATGGTGTTGCTGTTGGGGCGCCGTTGGTTGCTGTTGCTGCTGCTGCTGTTGTTGTTGCTGCTGCTGCTGGGCTCCAGGTGCTCCAGTGGTGGGATGTCACTGGGCCACAACGGAGGCGGACGGGTTCTGCTGCACCACCACGCCGGGCGCCACCGAATTGGCCACCGTGACGGTCACCGGCGTCGTGGGCCCCCCGTTCGCGTGTGCCACGCTGGGCTGCTGTGGCTGCTGCGTCTGGAAGGGGTGCTGGAAGGGCGGCCCATAGCACTGGGGGAAGTACAGCTCGTTCTTCACCACCGACTGCTGGACGACGGCTGCGGCCGCGGCATTGGCCGCTATGCTCCGCACCGGCAGGATGTTGGCCTTGTTGTCCACCGCCGTCGGGTTGTTGTTGTTGAGGAACTGCTGGGCCGCCAGGCTCTTGGCGTCGTTCATCAGGTGATTGGCCACGGAGGCAACCTGTGCCACCGCGTTGCTGTTGCCCTGCTGCTGCTGCTGCTGTTGCTGCTGCACCTGTTGCTGCTGCTGCTGTTGCTGCTGCTGTTGCTGCTGGTGCTGCTGCTGCTGGCGTCGCACCTTGGTGGTGTTGGGATTCATGTGGTTGTCGATGTGCTTGGTCACCTCGTTCTCGGTGGCGAAGCGTCGCCGGCAGTTGGGCATCGGGCAGCAGAAGGGTCGATCCCCCTGTATCAGAAACGAAACAGAAGAACAGAAAGATCGCTGGGGTTAGGCATCGTCGATTGGGGGAAGAGTGGCGAAGACTGAGGCCAGGCTACAACTACCTGGTGGGTGCGCGTGTGCTGGTCCAGAATGGCCTTCTGTCGGAAGTCTTTGCCGCACTGGGTGCACTTGTAGGGCTTCTCGCCGGTGTGGATGCGCAAGTGCTGGTTGAGGATGGTCCTCTGGCGGAAGAAGCGCGGACAGTACATGCAGCCGAAGGGCTTCTCGTTGGTGTGGATCCTCAGATGCTGCGTGAGGTGCGACTGCTGGCGGAAGCGCTTGCCGCACTCCGGGCAGGGATACGGCCGCGACTCGATGTGGATGCAGCCGTGCTGCAGCAGGGTGGTCTTCTGCTTGAACTCCTTGTCGCAGATGGGGCACCGGACGTAGAGCGGCATGTTCGCCGGACGGACACCGATGTGCTGCAGCACCTCGGGCAGTATCTTTTGACCTGCGGAATGATCTAATTAGAGGATTGATCGTTCGAATGCCCTTGCCACTGCGGATCACTCACCCTTGCCGTCCTTGAAGTACGAGGGATAATGCATGCCCCCGCTGCCGTCTGGCGTGCCCTGGGAGTCGTCGTCATGGTATCCGCCGCCGGCACCGGCAATGTCTCCCTTCGTGTCGTTCTCCTCTCCCGGAAAGGGCACGTCCGAGGGCCACAGCGTCGGGTGCGGCCCGTTCTTGAAGATGAGGTGTGGCGAGACATCTGTTGGGGGGACGTTTTGATCCGCATCCGCCGCACCAATCGGTTCAACACGGAAGTAGTTAATCGATAGAGAAAGAGAGAGAGAGGGAGAGAGCAAATGTTAGCAGCGCTTAGGCTTGGCTCATAGCCGAGATACAAATCTTGAAGAGAGAATAGCATCTAACATCTTTCGCTAAACTAGAGACAGATTTTGGTGATCTTTTTGCTTATGTTTTTTGCAGTTGGCTTGCCGATTGGTCGAGCTGCTGGGCAGGAAGATCGAAGATCGATCGATGGATAGATGTAGATAGATATAGATATACGAGTATCTGTTGCACTCTCAACGAATCGACACGCCAAGACGAGAATTGTCTTAGCCTAGGAGCATGAATTTTGATTTTGGGCCAAAAAAGCATTGAATTTTGCAAGGGAAATAGTTTGTTGCCAAAAGGTGCGTCAGGGTCAGTTTTCTGTGTAGCCTTCCGACCCCACTCAAACTGTATCTGTAGCTCTAGCTGTATCTCTAACTGTATCTCTATCTGTAGTATCGGTAAGGAAGGAGTTATCTGTCGCTCGCCTTGGTGGGTGCGCACATGCTGATTGAGGATGGCCTTCTGGCGAAAGTGCTTGCCGCACTCGGGGCAGGCGAAGGGCTTCTCACCCGAATGGATGCGTATGTGCTGGTTGAGAATGGCGCGCTGGCGGAAGCTGCGCGAGCAGTACGGGCAGGTGAAGGGCTTTTCGTTGGCGTGGATGCGCAGGTGCTGTGTGAGGTGCGACTGCTGGCGGAAGCGCTTGCCGCACTCCGAGCACGGGAAGGGGCGCGCGTCCGTGTGGATCCGGTCGTGCTGCAGCAGTGTGCTCTTCTGCTTGAAGTCCTTGCCGCAGGTGAGGCACTTGAACAGCCGCAGGTCGCTGTGTGGCTTGTTCTTGTGCGGACGCCCCGGACCGTTGCCCGTCCGCCCGCCCGTTGTCACTCCGCTAACCGCCCCCACACCGGCACCCGTCGCCCCTCCGTTGGCCGCCGCGGCGCCTTCATTGGCATTCGCGTTCGACGGTCCGCCGTTACCGTTCTGCTGGCCATTCTGCTGGCCCGGCAGCAGCTCCGGCAGCGAATAGGCCTCGCCGCCACCGCCTCCTCCGCCCCCTGCCCCGCTCTGCTCCATCGGCAGGACGCTCTTGTTCAGATAGTGGAGCGGCGGGAAGCCGGGTGGAGCCAGCATCCCGCCCTGCGGCGCCGCGTGTCGTGGTGCATAGTAGTCGGGCGTCTGGAAGCCATTGCTGGGATCGCCCTGTGGTCCGCCGCCGCCACCCCCGTTCTGCTGCACGTGCGGGTTGCCCGCCTCCCCTGGATTCGAGCCGGAGTGTTGGGGGTCGTTGCTGCTTTGGTTTTGGTTTGGCGCGGAGTTCTGCTGAAGCTGCAACGAGAAGGCAACCGTTAATCTGCTGCTGTGGATCTGGATCGGGATCGGGATCGGAATGTGGGAATCGGGACTCACCTGGTTCATGGCATCCTCCTCGCCGCCGGCATTCGCCCGCTGCTGCTGCTGCTGCTGCTGCTGGACCGAGGGATACGGACTGGACGAGGGCGACACCTGCTGCTGGCGGCCGTCGCCGCTGCCGTTATCGCGGGGCTCCTGGCCCCCGCCCGGAGGGCTCTGTGGCTGGCCCGCTGCTGCAGCCGCTGCGGCGGCCTGGGCGGCAGCCTGTGCCGCATTCTGTTGCTGTTGCGCCTGCTGCTGCTGTTGCTGCTGCTGGGCGTTGAGGTGCTGCTGGGCCTGCTGCTGGATGTTGGGGTACATGTCGCTGCCCCACTGGGCGGCGCTCGCCCCGAGGGCGCCCGGGTTGCGCTCCGCGTCCTGCGAGTCCTTGTAGAGGACGTAAGGCTGTCCCGAGTCCTGGGTAATGCAGTACATGATCTGGCGGGGCACCTTCAGGCCTGCCGCTATGCAGGCCGCAAACGAGGCCGAAAAGTTGATGGCCATTGTGCTCTCCCCTATGCTCTCGATGGGAGCCTTGTATATCCTATTGGTTGCTGCTGCTTGTCCTCTCTGTGTGTCCTTTGACTGGACACCCGGAGAGTTGCTGTGCCTCTCCTCTCTCTCTCTCTCTCTCGTGTGGCTTTTGTCTCTGTTGGGACTCCTTCTCTATTGACTTTTGATGCACATTTCTGCAGTTTCTGTTTCTCTTTCTTAGCCGCTTAGCAACTTAGCCACTTAGCCACTTAGCTGCTTCTTTAGTTGGCTGCTGCTGCTGCTGCTGTTTGGGTTTCTGCCACTCTCTTCATTTGTTTCTCTTCATTTTGTCCAAATTTAAAATTCCTTTCTTCTTAAGTGTCACATTTATTTATTCCTTCGTTTATAATAAACTTGTTTTTGTTTTTGCGTATCTGCTCCTCCCAGGAAGCTGTTGCTTTTGCTTTTGCTTTTCTTTTTAGTTTGAAATGAAATTGTATCTCCCTCCTGGTCGCGTTTTCTCGATGATTTCAAATTGGTTCCAAAGATATTTCTGGGCTGGCAATCGTCAATCCTTGTTTTTGGTTGAACTGAAAGTGGAAGAATTGAAAGGATTAGTGACGAAAGCAGATACTTTCTGTGTTGGCATGCAAAACGCCTTCGACTCTCAATTTCCAGGCGGTGGCAGCACCGCCAGAGCCAGAGGCAGAGCTGCCGCTTTTTCAAAAGTGAAAATGAAAAGGCCGAGAGACATTAGCAGAAATGGCTTGCAAATTAAAAACAATGAAGATCATCAGCGGCTGATTGGAAGGAGTGGCGCACCAATGGACACCGCATGCCAAGCAGCCTGCTCGGCCCCCTTCCTTGCCACCGCCCCTGCCCCTGCCCCAGCCCCTGCCCCTGAACCCACAAAATGGTTGGTTGTCCACATGCCTCCTCCTCCTTTGTTGTCATGTGCGACCGAGTGCCGCCACCCGGCACCCGCCCCCGCTCCATGCCGCGACTTGACTCACTTTCTGTACTTTCTACCCTTCGTTAGAGGGTATTACAGCTTTGAGCAGAGGTTCTCCCCACACAGAAAACGAAGTACTTCTGATACGAAAGAGATTTGAATATTTTCGAAAGGCGGCTGAACTTTCATCTTCTTTCTTCTTCCCAGTTGCATCCAAAATCTGTCAAAATCGTATTACTTTGTTCCGTAATATCCACATATAACTGCCAGGGATATGCTAGGGTATTTAAGGCTGCGACCTGCCAAAAACTAGCCTTTTCTTTACTGTTTTGTATTTTTTGCTTTTCGCTTTTCGCTCTTTGTTTTTTTCTTTTTTGGTTTTGGTTTTGGTTTTATCTCTGTGCCGTGTTCTTTTTGTTGTCCCACGACAACGACGCCGCGGCGATGACGACGACGTGCCAACTTTTTAATGCGGGATCAAGGTCTCGGAGAGCCACAGACACAGCCAGGGACACAGACGACACACGGACGAGGAAAGGCACACAGATACACACGATCGCAGAAAGATATCCCCAGGCCGCGGCCGGCCCGCGGAGTAGTGCCACAAGGCTGGCTGCTTGAACGGCAATATCCATTAAAAGTCTTCGATGGGGACGGTACGCGGTAGAGACTCCGCCGATCAGGCAAATGTTCTGATCCCGACTATGATGTGATAACAGAGCCATCCCCATTGATGATTGACTTGTCTTCATAGGGGTCAGAGGCAGAGTCGGAGCATGTGCCCGGAACAATCTCTGGATATACACACTCGTACGCTTACTTATTCGCAAATTGTGAGCCAATCAAATGAATCGAATCGACTGGGGCTGGGACTGGGGCTGGGGCTGGAATCGCTTTGCGTGTCGACATCGACATCGACATCGGTTCAACAGCGATTACAAGAAGTTGTTGAGCCGGGGAATCGGCACGGTCAATGGGCAGTCGTCAATCGGCTATCGAGAGCCGGCTGTTCGCGAGAGAACGGCGAAGCAAACTACCTTGAACCCGCGAGTGAACGCGCCGCTGCAGCGTCGAACTGTGAGATACCTCAACACTGGAGAGAGCTGGCGGGTCCGGAACATGCACTCGGACTGCGACGACGGCGGCCGAGAGGGGGCTGGCTGTGTGCTCTCCCAACGACTGCACTGCACTTCGTGTCAAATGCAGTGCCGCCGTCGTTGCCGTTGCCTTTGCCGTTTCTGTTGCCTTTGCTATTTGTGAATTATTGCGCTCCATTGGCAGAGCGACAGCATTTGCAATTTATGCGTTCGTTGTCGTCGCAGGTCGCCGTCGCCATCGCCGTCGCCGCCGCTGCCGTCGCCTTCCAGTCCAAGCGAATCCCATTCCGATTCCGAGTGCCACTATCTGAGGAGCACGGCGTCCTCCCCTCGCCCTTTCACAGCGTGTAATGAGCACCCAAATCCGCTACGGGTATAACAATTTCGAGAAGCACTTTGCATCAGTCTAGATTCTAGGAGAAGATGCTCCACAAACAAGCCTAAGAAAGGGGTCATAGATCTGATACCCAAGCATTTACCCAAAGCCGAGATGTGCGACTCCTAATATGGTCTTTAAAAAGATCTCCCCATTGATCATTATTTACATCATTTCGCAATGCCATTCAATCTCTTTTTCCGCGCACATCCGCAATCATTTCTAAACACATACTCGTACTCGTACTCGTACTCGTACTTCAAGTCGTATTCGCATCTGCAGTATGCATATGCTCCAGTTTTTGGTCTTTTCGCTTATCGTCGAGCAAATTCGAGTTGCCAATTTCTGGCTCACGCTCCGCTGCCAGTGAAAGTTGTCAATGTACCCCCCAGCTCCAGCTCCAGCTCCAGCTCCAGCGCCAGTGCTAGCCCCTGCCACCGCCACCGCCACCGCCCCACCCACAACCAAGTCGTGGTCCACTTAAGGGGAGAATGATATTTCAGTTTCTATTTCTATTTAAATGGCGGCCAGCCAGCAGCAGCAGCAGCAGCGAGTCAGCCAATGACGCCGTCGCTCATTGCCATTAATATACATTTATCTTGCACCATTCGTATCTCGTGCCGGTGCACTTGTATCTGGTGTCTTGTTTCTTGTATCTTGTGTCTTGTATCTCTTGGTGTGGCTCGTGTCTTGTGGTATGTTGTGTTGTGCCGGTGTCGGGGCTGTCAGGTGTGAAGTAGGTGGAGTTTGCCAGACCGCCCGCCCAACTCTTGCTCCCATTTCCCGTTTAAGCTGCGCCTCGTTCGGCTCTGCTGCGTATCGGGTGTACGATTACCCGCCCCCATCGACGCACTGGACGATCTCGGACCCCATGTCCTCAATGTCCGATACAGGTTCCTCCGAATTCCTTAATTTACGGAACTATCTACGAGCACAACGAGTATCTATGGAGCTGTCACTGCCGTCCATTGTGTCCGTCCATTGGTTTTATCTAACATACGAGTACTCATAGCTGGCCCCCTCACCAGCCCCATCCCCTTCCCAGCCAAAAAAGAACGATTCTCAAGGTTAAGGCAGCGAAACTGCGAACAACAACAAAATATATACAAATTGCCAAAAAGTTTTTTGCGCTTGTTGCTCGACAACGACAACAAAAAACGAGCGCCAAAAACATTTTAACGTAATTTGTGCAGCAATCTAATTCAATACACAAAAGCTTTGCCAAACACGGAGAGGGAGAGCAATAGACCCGAACAGATAGATAGAGAAAGAGAGAGAGAGAGCACTCCGGAGAGAGAGAGAGAGAGCGCACACATAAACTATAGCGACAGGTACGGTACGGGTGTACCGATAGATAGAGATACTCGTACTCCCGCTCCCGCTCGCACGAGAGCTGCGAGTGCTGCGAGCGCTCCGAGCGAATAAAAACAATTTGCGCCACAAAAATACAAAAATAAGGCAAAAAGTGACTCACAAAAAAGAGCCAAATGGGCAATTTTTCAGCATTTTACGAGTATTTTGCCCAAAATCTGGTTACCTTTTGGGTTTCTATTTAATCGGGTTGATGCGGGGGGAGGGGCAGAGAGCAGCCAAAGGGTTTATCTGTGGGGCTGGGCTGGGCACTTTTTAGGCGATTTTTCAGAGCGCTTTTCGTCAGTAATTGAATAAAGGAATTCAGATAGCTGTCATTGTCGGTTCGGAGGAGGTAGGAGCACCTGCCCTACTGCTTACCCTCCCCCTTTGGGTGGAACCTGACATTTTTACTCGCTTACGTGGGGGTTGTTCAACTCGGACAGCCTTCAGATTATCTATAGGGCCTGCCCAACATCTACCATCGTCATTTTATCCTCATAGAAATGAGTGATTTTTAACCCAATTACTCGGATCACTTAGGGCAGTAATTGAATAGAGAAAAATCCGGATATATTAGTTTTGCGCCCTTCCACAAACACCCCCACCCGATAAGGGTATTCCCCGCTTCGACTGTGTTGGGCTTTTCTTTCATTTCTTTTCTTCCCTCGTTTTTTTTTTGGCAAATATCTGTACATTTAATTAACGCTCCATTCGACGCTGGCGTCGCTGTCGTGTGACAAACAACATTTTTCTACCGGCAAAAAAACAACAAGAACCCCCTCCCCCTTTGCCACCCCAGTGCTGTGGGGCAGGCAGGCAGATGTACGGGTGGACGGACGGACGCCAGCACGCCACACATGCATTAGGAGTGGAGTTGGAGATGTATCTGTTAGATACATAGCGCCAAAACAGCAGCAAAACAAAAAAAAAACCCACATCAGCGGAAAACGCCAGCTAACCTACGGCAGAGATCCACAGCACACAGATACACACGCACACACAATTAAGTGATTTCGCTTGTTTTATTGTTGAACATTTTGTGGATTTTAGTTTTTTGTGCAAAAAGCATTTTTTTTTGCTTATAATTCATCATATTCCTTTATGGGCTGACATTCGCACACAAAATTCGTAGATACTCGAACGCACACTCACACAGACGCACACACACACACGCACACCGATGTGCCCTACTCTTTCAGACCCCAAAAATATAAATGAATTTAGCCCCAGGGAGAATTTCGCAAAAAAAAAACAGAAAACAGAAAAAATCGCAGAAAATTGGGAGAGCAAATAAAAATTGCAAATGATTTGTGGCAG